GGGCGACTCCTCCCCCACCACCAATCAATCAATCAATCAATCAATCAATCAAACCCCTTTTTTTTTTTTTTTTTTTTGCATCTGCATTTTTTCAAAACACCTCACACTTCTGCAAAAAGACATAAATTCATTTTTTTTAAACTCACGGACCATATATCTCATGATAAAAAATGACCAAAAAAAATTCCTGCTTTTTTTTATATTTTTTTTTATATTTTGTTTAAATCGATTTTAGTTTTTGATTTTTTACAAATCTTAAACAAAGTCGGATTCCAAAAMAAAAAATATAGGAGTGTAGGTTTTTTTTAGCCCTACACGCCCATATATATATCGTCACAAACAGAACTGCCCGGTAAACCGTAGGCAGATATATATATTTTGCATGCATTAGAAAAAAAAAAAAAAAATCTTGCACCGAAGTCGGCTGGTCGGCCTGGGCCGCAGCCGACTTGGACCCCCCGGCCGCGGCCGGGTGTGCAACATAGCCCCTACCGGCCCAGGTCATCTTTGCATTATGCCCCGTCATTCATTTTAGCGGTTCGCCCTGGGAAGCTTCCCCATATCCAACTCCTCCTCCCCCACCATTCCTCCAAGTTCTCCTCCTTTGCCACGAGACTAACTCCGAGATCCTCCTTTCCGCCACTCCTTCAAACTCTCTCTCTCTCTCTCTCTCTCTCTCTCTCTCTCTCTCTCTCACACACACACACACACACACACACACACACACACACACACACACACACGGCGCAACTGCTAAAACAACAGCCCCTTCCAACTTCTCTTTCTCGTTTCCAGAGCACCCTGCTCAAATGGGGTGGCACATATCTCAACTTGCAGGGGCATGAATCAGGGAGGCAAACTGCCGCACTTATGGGCCTGGGTATTGCGCGAAGCTGCCCCCACCCCGTATGGAGGGCAAACCGGGGAAAACAGGGTGCAGGCCCAGGCCCCAACGACGATGTCCAGATGCAAATTTGCACATGGGCCTGGCAGGGGTAAAACCCAAAGAATTAGGCCCAAAAGGGCATTTTGCTCTACGCACATGGGCAAAACCAAAGAATTAGGCCCAAAAGGGCATTTTGCTCAACCCACATCTTTTAGGGGCATTTTGGCATATCTCAACATATAGGGGCATTTCGCAAATTATCCCTTTTTTTTTTTAAGACCTGTTTTTGCACCAGGATATATTTTCTGAAAAGTGGGGCATAAAAATAAAAAAAAAGAAAAGAGTGTACCCGGATAGTCTCTGGAGTTTGAACACTGAAAAGTACTGATGGGCCTAGCTCAGTTGGTACACCCTTGAACTGTTGAAATGCACCCCTTGGGGGGATGGCCCAATAAATTGTAGACGTTGGGAATAGGCAGTTCTTGATGAGAACGGAAGGGCTGCTCGCAGCACCTCAGGGGGACTAAGGGTGACGCCTGCACGACTGGGTACCGTAAAGGTCTACCGGTGCGGGATGCTCTTAGCCGTTAGCCCTGAGATGAGGTGGGTTGGTACCTGCGCTCTTGAGCTGAAATGCCAACTGCCCTAAAAAAAAAATGCAGACCTGCTGCTGCTTTATGAGGTACTAGCTAAGTGCCCATGGTGCGGACTATGCCTGCAGAAATAACAAATGCAGTTGGTGACCTCACACTGCATTTCGGATGGCTCGCCTCCAAGATGTTCGCCCGCAGAAACAATGATGGCCTGCCGCGGGGCACAAAACGACAGCCACGCGAGAAAAGAAAAAAGAAGGAAGGAAAAGAAAAAAAAAACAAAAAAAAAGGGGGACACAAAACGACAGGAGCGAGAAATGAAAAAAGGAGAAGGGGGACACAAAACGACGGCCAACCGGGGAAAACAAAACAAAAAAAAGCCACCCGCATATCGGATGGCTCGCCTCCAAGATGTTCGTCCACATCAACGCCAGCCGTGTGCCCCGCCCCCGGGGCGCGCACTCTCGTTTAATGGCGCGCTGTGAATATTTCGGTACGCGCACCCCTCTGCACACTCCCCCGCCCTCGATCGCCTTCATCCGCCACCCCTCACCAGAACTTCGACCCGAATCCGGCGCGCAGCACGTCATGGACCTCCCCCCCGTGGCCAATGCTGCTTGGGGGATAGGATTCTTTTATAGGTTTATATATATCTATATATATCGTCACAAACAGAACTGCCCGGTAAACCATAGGCAGAGAGAGAGAAGAGGACAACAAACGAGGGGCTGTGACAAACTGTATAGGTTTTCTCTTATGGATATTTTCCTTTTTGAGCTCTTTTGGTTCCTGGTTGTTAGTTTAAAGGAAAATCAAGGTAGGATGGCTGGTTTCATAGATTTTTTCTGGCTTATTGGGTAGGCCTGGGTACTTTAGTTACTCTCCCGCTGCCCGCTGATAACCTTCAAAGGTTATGGTTCTTGGTTCATCTTAATCCTTGTTTTTTCCATTCTTGCGGGTGATTTGTAACCGGACTGGTTCCCCCCAGAATATAAAGGGGTTGGATGCTTCGGAAAAAAGAAAGAAAAAAAGAAATGCAGACCTGAGTTCAAATCCAGCTGGGAGTAGGATGAGAGTCGAAGACGGCTTGATAGCATGTTGGACCGACTCAGAACTCCATGGCCAATGAGAGCAACCAAGTCGTCATGCACAAGAACACACCACAACTGTTGAAATGCAGACCTGAGCTGAAATCCAGCTGGAGCTAGATGAATGAAATTGAAAAAGTGGAAAGTGGGCATTTGAAAAAGAAAATTAACCGTACCTGGATAGTTTCTGAAAAGTGGGCATACACTGGACTACGCGAGATGGCCTCCAGACGCTTTACCTGCATTGTGGAAAAGGAGAGGGGGAGTGATGGAGATGGGGTGTGTGTGTAGGGGGGGGGGAGGAGGCAGAAGGGTTGGGAGAAGGGATTGGGGAGGGGGAGGACGGAAAGGGAGGGCAAGGGAGAAGGGGGATGGGGCAGCAGGAAACAAAGCCATTCATCAGAACAACAGTCTTAAAGAGAACTAGCGTAGCGCCCACGGTGCGGGGGGTGTGGTCTACGCCCGCAACCAAAAAGCGGGAAACAAGATGCCCACCGGGAAATGACATGCCCACCGGGAAACAAAAAGAAAAGAAAAAACGAAACGACAAAACGACACACCCACCGACACACCCACTGGGAAACAAAAAGAAAAGAGAAAACAAAAAGCGGGAAAAAAAAGAAAAAAAAAAGAGGAACCACACGCCGACCACGAAACAAAAAGAAAAGCAAAAACGAAAAGCGGGAAACGACAGGCCCAAAACGAAAATGCTATAAAAAAAAAAGGCCGCCCGCTTATCGACGACAGCGGCTTCAAGATATTCCCTCACATCTACGCCCGCCGCCGCCCGGCCCCGTGGGCGCGCTCACTCGTTTAATGGCGCGCTGTGAACATTTCGGTACGCGCGCCCCTCTGCACACTCCCCTGCCCTGGATCGCCTTCATCCGCCGGCCTCCTCAAAACTTCGACCCCAAATCCGGCACGCAGCGGACCATCGACCTTCCCCCCCCGGCCAATGCTGCTTAAGGGGTAGGAAGGATACTGGCAGCTTTGTTCTTCTTTTTTTTTTGAAAACACAAGTGTGGCTGCATCAGTTTTTTTGTCCTTTTTCTTTATGAAGGGCGACACTGCTGCGACAGCCTTTAGATATCATCATTGAACTGACCGCCCCAAGGCAATTCAGAATGATTTTGTTCTCTTTGTCTGAAGGTATCTGGATTCGAACTTGAGTCCTTTGGTGCAGCTGCGTCAGGTTTTGAGTTTCAAAAGCAAAAAAAAAAACTCAGGTGGGCAGGTCTGTCGCGGCGCGAGTTTCTGATGGGCAAAAAGAACACAAAATGGCAGTCTGCACACCACACAGCTCCCCACCTGCAAAAGACCTGACCTGCTTGTTTCATACGTTGCACCATGTTTTTATTGCCTTTTCGAACTCAGTGTGCGACTGACCCGCTGGTTCCTGTTTTTTTTTTTTTGCCCGCACTCGATCCTCCCACGTGCAAAAAAACCTGACCCGCTGGTTCAGAAGTCGCGCCGCGTTTCTATTGCCTTTGTGAACTCAGCGTGTGACTGACCTGCCAATTCATGTTTTTTTTTGGCCGTTCGGAGCTCGATCGTGGCTGAAACATACTTGCCCCTTCTTTTTTTTTGCGTCAGTTCTCTGTTGTTTTCTTCCTCCCTGCGTAGCTTGGATCACTAATTAGTACTAATTAGTAATTAGTATTGGTAATTACATCAACTAGAAAGAAGCAGGCTCTGCAGTAATAAGAATGCCTCCTCTTTTTGCACTAATTGCTTTATAATAGGACTGCCTCCTTATGTAGAGACTCTTTCCACAAGTTTTCAGTGTATTGGTGGCGAATGTCAACTACAAGAAATCTGGTCCAGCGCTCCAAGTACAGCCTATCACATATCCCACACAGCAACCCATAAAGCAGGTCATAACTCACTCAAGGGGAAAGGGACCAATTCAACACACACACACACACACACACACACACACACACACACACAACAACAAAAAAAAAAAAAAAAAAAAAAAAAAAAAAAAAAAAAAAAAAAAAAAAAAAAAAAAAAGCCTTGAAAAAGGCCATTCTGGGACCAACTCGCTATTCGCCAGCTCAGGAACAAAAGGAGGTTCCTCCTGCCCTGATTGAGAAAAAAAAAAAAAAAAAAAAGGTCAAAGGACAAAGCAAACTAGCAAGAGGCCTGTGTCTGCTACCAGTCCTGTTATTGGGTCAGCCTGGCCACCATAAGTGTCTTTCAAAAAAAAAAGAAAAAACAACAACAAAAAAAAAAAGGCGCAGGGCCCATCGAGGGGCATATCAATTGAAAAATCCAATGTACAAAGGTGAAGATGCGCTGCTAAGGACTGTAATGCCGCCGCAGGCCTGCGAATGGCCGGCGCTACTGCTTGCCTTTATCTTAAGCATCGAAGCTCAACGGAGGGCTTGGCAGGTCAGGCCGGCAATGGCAGATAAGGGGATAGAGCGAAAAAAAGAACAATGACCGTTTATCGTTGATTACCTGAATTGACAATTTGTTAAAACAATTGTGACAGAGGCTCACCGGCAACAAGCAAACAATTGGGAAGCCTCTACCACATTTGCATGGGTGCGCAGATTTACGTATATCATGGTATACGTTTGCAAGCAATTGGGAAGCCTCTACCACTAAGAAGCAAGGGGGAGAACAGTACACATGCGCACCTCTCTGGACGTTGTAGCGTAGAAACGCTGGATTCTGCGAACACGGCAATCCAATCGAAAGGCAGACAGACAAATAAAAACAATGCACTTCATTAGCCCGTGCACAGTTAGAGATTTGTCCACCTCCTTGACGAGAGGTTGCCTCTCATACTTGAACCCACAGTAATGATGTCCACCACACCGGTGTGCTAGTAGTACGAAGGAAGAAACATACACGGCAAGATCAATAGATAGATAGGCAGGCAGGTAGGTAGGTAGGCAGGTAGGTAGGTAGGCAGGTAGGTAGACGGGTAGGTAGGTAGGTGGGTTGGTGGGTGGGTAGGTAGGCAGGTAGGGAGGGAGGTAGGGAGGGAGGGAGGTAGGGAGGTAGGGAGGTAGGGAGGTAGGCAGGCAGGAAGGAAGGCAGGTAGATAGATAGAACAATAGATATCGCACCATGGATTTTGTCGGAAATGTTTAATGCTTCTTGGTATTTTCTGTTTGATACTCTGACTGTGGTTATGTTCATTGTGGTCACTTTTGTCAGTACTCAGTAGTTTAGTTCATATTTATTCAATCTCATATATGTCTGAGGATCCTTTTTTGCCTCGATTTATGTGCTATTTATCTATTTTTACTTTTGTTATGCTCATCTTAGTCACCGCAGATAACTTGATTCAAATGTTTTTAGGATGGGAAGGACTAGGTCTTGCATCGTATGTGTATCGATCGACTGATAGATAGATTGATCGATCGATAGATAGATAAATAGATAAATAGATCAAGCTATAGATAGATTGATAGATTGATCGATCGATAGATAAATAGATGGATAGATGGCTGGATGGACCGATGGACCGATGGAGGAAGGAAGGGACGTAGGGAGGGACGGACAGAC